GAACAGCAGGTCGTTGTTCTTCTCGATGAAGCCCGTCACGTTGTAGGTCACCTGGGGGGGTCAGCGGGGTCAGCACGCGGGGAGGGAGCGGGTCAGGGTCAGCGTCCCTGTGCCTGTTCCCAATCCAGCCCTGCATCTCCCCTGCAAAGCTGGGAAGAGGTCTGGGGCTCCGGGAAGAGGTCTGGGGCTCTGGGAAGAGGTTTGGGGTTCCGGGAAGAGGTCTGGGGCTCTGGGAAGGGGTCTGGGGCTCTGGGAAGGGGTCTGGGGCTCTGGGACGAGGACAAAGCGCTGCCGGACCTTGCCGGCGTAGTGGTGGATGCGGAAGCACCGCGCCGGCAGGCTGGCGTCCGTGACGCGCCGGGCGTTCTGCGTCTCCTTGCTCTCGTAGTGCTTGTGGGTGGCGAAGAGCTGGTTGAGCTTGGTGAGGAAGGTGTCCTCGTTGACCACGCCGGGCCGCAGGCACTCCTCGTCCAGCATGGCCAGGATCCCGCTGGTGCTCTGCGCCACCACGGATGGCGTCACCCCAAACCGGCCCCAGCGAGTCCCAGTTTGGGCTCTGCATAGCCCGAGCTCATACTGGGAGCGATGGGGGAAGCTGGGACCCCGAGACCCCGGCACTGGGATGGCGACTCACGTTCTCGATCAAGTTGCAGATGATGCTGTTGTCGAAAAACTCCACCGGGGTCCACTGGATGCCCTGGGAGCAGAGGGGGGTCAGACACATGGATTGCCCAAGCCCTGCCCCATGGACGTCCCCAGCAGATGTGGGGCAGGAACTGGACATCCGGCCACGGGGACGAGGACCTCGGATCCCTTCCTGCCATTGACTCTGCTCCCAGCAGGGAGCGGGGCGAGGGAGGGACGTGCGGCGGAACCGTCTCCGGCACTTCCCCGTCCCGGGGGGCCGGAGCAGAGCCCTCAGGAGCCTCGGCGAGGGCCGGGGGTACCTCTCGGACATATTCCTCCTGCTCCTCCTTCAGCGTCATCAGGATGAAGATCTGCTGCAGCTTCTCATTGCAGTAGTTGATGATGAACTGCTCAAAGCCGTTGTCCTGCGAGAGAAGGGGCCTGCGTTGCAGATGGTGCCCGAGCCCCTGGCCCCATCCCACGTCCCCCCTGGTGTCCCCAGCCCCCCCAGATGGGGCCAGGCGGGTCCTGCGCTCACCTGGAAGATCTCGAAGCCGTAGATGTCCAGGACACCCATCACCTTCCTCTGCTCACCCGACTTCACCTGGGGAGATAACGGGGTGTGTGGGGCTGTGCCCTGGCCCCCTGTGGGGTGGGGGTCCAGGGTCCTGCCGGGGGGTCCAGGCCCCCCTGGCGCTCACCTGGATGCTGGTGTTGATGCGGTTCACCAGCCAGTCGAAGAGGCGGCTGTAGATGTTCTTGGCCAGCGCGTCCCGCCCGTAGTAGCCCTGGGCAGAGGGGAGAGGGGCTGGTGCCGGCTCGTGGGGGGCTGTGGGGGCATCAGCCCCACGGCCAGGGGTGGTCCCACTCACCTGGGGGACGGTGAGGGTGGTGAGCACCGTCTCGTTGCGCGCCTTCACCGTGCGGGAGCACAGCGCCTGCTCCAGCGTGCCAGGGTCCAGCCCGATCAGCTCGCAGATCTCCTGCAGCTCTGGGGGGGCAGAGGGCAGTGCCAGGGCCGAAGGGGGGCTGAGGGGTCTCCCCACCCCCCCATGTGCCATCCCTATCCCCATCCCTACCCCGGGGCTCGGCGATGCTGCAGGCCTCCATCCCGCTGGCCTGGAAGCTGCTGCTCAGCTGGACGTTGCCCAGTTTGAGCACCACGGCCGTCACCTCCAGCAGCGCCGTCACCTCGGCGGGAGAGAAGCCGATGACCTTCATGGCGTCCTGGGGACAGACACAGGCGGCTCAGGGGGAGCTGGGGTGGGCCCCAGGGTGTTCGGGAAGGGGGTCCTGGCCTCCCACGGGTACCTGCATGGCACGGAAGTTGGCTGCATCGTCCATGCCAGGCAAGCTGGAGGTCTCCCGGTTCAGGTATCCGTAGTGCCCGCAGTCCTGGCGGAGCTTCAGCTGCTCTGGTGGAGGGGAGAGGAGGTGGCGGCTCAGTCATGGTCCCCCCAGCCCTCCCAGCTGCTGTTGCCTTCCCCAAGCCCCCCCAGGGCGGGCTCTGGACCTACGGAGCAGCTGTGCCGAGCCCCCCGCCAGGAGCTGGTAGAAGATGTGGAAGTTCCTCTCGCCCTTCACGTGCCGGACGATGCGGGATTTCTCCAGCAGGTCTGGGGGGGGGGTCAGTGTCACCGGGAGGTCATTGTGGGGCGGGACCCCCCAGGATGGGCGGTGGGTACTCACAGTTGCTGATGACCCCTCCCAGGGGCTCCCCCTTGAAGTCAAACTCCACGTCCATGTACTTTCCCTGAGGGGAGGGGATGGGGTCAGGGCAGGGGTCCCGGTGGGGGTGGCAGCTCCGCTCCCCACATCCACAGCCCGATCCCCTGTGTGGCCCCAATGCCAGCAGGGTCCTCATGGCCCCAGCAGGGTCCACGCCCCCCTCCCCAGGTCACTCACAAATCGGGAGGAGTTGTCATTACGGACGGTCTTGGCGTTTCCAAAGGCTGCAGGGTGAGGGTGGGGGGGTTATGGTGCAGTCCAGAGGGGCTGTGCCCAGCCCTGGCAGGTCCAGGATGCGGGATGTGGGGCTCAGGATGTGGGGGGCACTTACCCTCCAGCACGGGGTTGGACTGCAGGAGCTGCTCCTTCACCTTGTTCACCTCCTCCCCTTTGCTGCTCACGGCCGCCACGTAGGACATGACGAGCTTGCTGGCCTCTGTGAGTGAGGGGCCGTGGGTGCAGGGCCAGGGGTGCCCAGGCTGTGCCCACAGTCCCACCAGCCCCTCACAGCCCACGGAGCACCAGGGGCAGCCCTGGCTCTACCTGTCTTGCCGGCGCCGCTCTCGCCGGTGATGAGGATGCACTGGTCCCTGTCCCGGTCCCGCAGGGAGCGATAGGCATCGTCAGCGATGGCATAGCTGGGGGTGAGGGGGGGTTACAAGAGGCTGGAGCCACCTGGGGGCTTCAGGAAATGCCAAGACCCCCCGTTGTGGCTGGGAGGTTGCCCCCAGTGGATTCCCTCAGCCCCCGATGCCTTGGGATCGCCCCCCGGGTGAAGCCCTTGGTGGCATCCAGGGGACCGAGGGCCCCGCCGGCCTCCCTGTGCTCACATGTGGGGCTTCACAGCGAAGAAGTTGCATTCGTGGTACTCCTGCACCTTCTCGGGGGTGTAGATGGGCAGGGACTGGTAGGGGTTCACCGAGATCACCACGTTCCCGATGTACGTCTGGAGGAGAGCGGGACAGGACGGGGTGAGGGAACGGGAGGACCCAGCCCAGCTTCTGGTGCTCCCCATCCCGGACCCCAAACCCCATTCCCCACCCCAGCAGCCCCCGTGCCCACGCTCCCACCCCAGCAGCCCCCGTGCCCCTGCCCACGTAGATGTCTCGGCGGCGGAATCGCTCCTGCAGCGTCCGGAGCAGCGACTCCTCGGTCAGCGGGTCCAGCAGCACCAGGTCGGCCACAGCCTCGGCGTCCAGGAGTGGGGCGGCGTCTTCCATGGCCAGGCAGCTCTGGGGCAGCTGGGGCACGGCAGAGAGGGGGGGGGCTGCAGCCACGGGTGTGCAGCCCCTTCCCCAAAACACCGCCCAGGTCCTCAGCAGCCCCTGGGATCTTGGCTGTTCCCCTTGTTCCTGGGGACAGGGGACAAGGCGGCCACACACCCACAGAGGGCAACTTCCCGGGGCACCCGAGTGCCCAGGACCCCGTGGTGGGGCTGGGGGCAGCCGGATGCTGGTGGGGAAGTAGAGCCCAGCCAGGAAATGTGGACACCTGGATCCTATTCTTGGAGCAGGGATGAACTGAGCCTCCGCTTCCTCCCTCCTTCCTGGCGGGGGGAAACCGGGACAGGGAGGGGATTCCAGGTCCCCCCGATGGGTCACCCCTGCACAGCTCACCCGCTCACCATCACATCCCCAGCACCCTCACCTGTCTCTGACAGCACAGCCACGTTCCCTGGGCGACCTTCACCCCCGGTTTACAGCTGGAGCACAGGGCTGTAAACCCACCCCGCTTATCGGCGCTGGGGAAAGTTCACGAGCGAGGTGGGGAAGGAAGGATGGGGCAAACGGGGTAATGGGGGTGGTGGCTCCAGTTGCCTCCAGGGGTGGCGAAACCTCCCTCGGGTCCCTGCCCAGGGCACAGGCACCGAGCCCCCCGTGCTGCTGCGTGCGGGGCCCCAGGGTGAGCACCCGTGGGTGGGAGCCAAAGCGAGAGCCCCCCCAGCTCCAGGGCAGTGCTGGGCTCACCCCAGTGCTCCCCACAGCGCCAGGTCCCCACACCCCATGGGGTGCAGGTGTGCCAGGGTGGGAGCCATGCAGACATCCAGCCATTCAGCCCAGAGTGGGGGGATCTGGGGGCTTGGGTGTTATCTGGGAGCAGAGGGGTCCCCGACTCACCTCCCGGGCGCAGAGCAGCAGCTCCTGGAGTGGCTTCAGCTGGAGCTGCCCCAGAACCGGCAGGGCTCAGCCCAGCCCAGTGCCCGGTGCTGGCCCCGAGGGGCGGGGGGGCTGCAGGGCCCTCCCCCAGGGCACAGCACCCACCCCCGGGCACAGCGCCCGCCCTCAGAGGGGACACTGAGGCACCAAGCACAGCAAGCAGCGCCGAGCAGCCCCGGCAGCCCCACCGGCTGCCCCGTCCCTTCCCCACCCGGCACTGGGAGCAGGAACAGGCAGGGAAAACCCCGGAGCCGAGCAAACAAAGGGAGCTTCCTCCCGGGCTGCGGGAAACCGGGGCAAGGTACGGGGATGGAACCAGGAGCGGCTGGGGCTGCTCCAGGGAGGACCCCTGGCCCCAGCACAGGGGGACAAGAGGCCTGAGGCCAGGGTGGGTCAGGGGGTGGTCACCCAGGGGCTGTTCTGTGTCCCCAAGCAGCGGCCCCAGCAGAGCAGCCCAGCGCCCACCGCGGGACGGACAAATGAGGCTCCTGACCTAAAAAATACATATTTATTAAAAATATAATCAGTCATTCACCGCGCTGAGGGTGGGGGGAGGCTGTAACAGCGGCTGCTCACACCTGAACAGGCAGGAAAGCACAGAGAGGGCCAGGGAGCAAACCTGGGACGGGGACAAACACACGGCAGAAGCTCCTGCAGCGGTGTGGGTGAGGTAGGGGCTGGGCTGGGGGTCCCCAGGGCAGCTGGGGTGGTGCCAGGGGGGTGAGGGGAGCATTATTGCTTAGCAAGTTGCATAGATTATGGCGTTCCCTCCAGCTCTGTGCTTTGGCAGAGCCCCCCAGGCAGCACCTGGAGCAGGAAACACCAGCAGGGTCACCCCCCAGCAGGGTCACCCCCAGCCCCTGACCCTTGGAAGAGCAGTAACAGCAGGTGAAGGGCAGAGAGGCAGGGAGGAAGCACATCCACACTCATCCTGAGCTCTGGGGTGGGGACAGGGGGCCGAACACAGCCCCCACCCCAACATTACAGCTGGGAGCAGCCACTGGACCTCGAGCTGCCTTCTCTGAGCTCTGCAGCTCCGCCAGGGAGGCACCGGCGTTTTTGGTATCCACACGTGGATTGAGGCCAAGGTAGAGGTGTGGCCCGACCAGCTGGAGCCCTCTGACATCTTTGGTAAGGGAGGAGGAGGAGCAGCAGCTCCCTCCCCGGCTCCAGGCAGGTGCTGAGCACGCAGGTACCCACAGGACAGGGACAAAGTTCCTCTCGTGGCACCTGCACAGGAGTGGAGGGGAAGGTCTGTCCCCACCCTGGGCACGGCCCGGGTGTCCAGTGGTGGGGAAGGGGCTCCCATCTGCTGCCCACGGCCCAGGGATGGAGCCAGAGCAGCACCCAGGCCTGGGGAGGAGGTCCCTGCCCTGGGAGCTCACAAACATCCCCTGCAAAAGTTGGGGTGACCCCAGCCCAGGGGGGCTCCCTTTGTCCTCCCCCCACCAACACCTCACAACAGCTTTCACACCTCAGGCAGGTGAAGGGAAAGAGAAGGGTGTCAGCCTTCCTTTTTCCCCCCCATCAGAGGGGTTCTGTCCCCACAGGGTCCACCCCAACCACTCTCCTCTCCCTCCCTGAGCTGCAGAACTCGGGGCAGCCCAGCAGCCCCAGGGCAGCTGACCTCAGTGGCCATCCAGGTGGTTGTGGGGCAGGGAAGAACTCCTGTGATTCCCAGCAAAGGAGTCACTGTTGCCCATCTCCTCCTCGTCCTCCTCGTCCTCCTCCTCGAAGAGCTGCTCGTTGATGAAGAGGCTCTCCAGGCCGAACTCCCGCTCGTGCACAGACACCTCGGTGGGGGTGACGTGAGAGGCACCACTCACAAACTCAGCAAACCTGGGGGAAGCCGTGGGGCAGTGGGTTGGGGGTGTGCCCGGTGCCCCTGGAGGGGCCCTGGCACCCACAGAGCCCCAGGGAAGTGTTTTGGTGCCGGGACTGGGCATTATCTGTCCCTTCCCCTTCGCTCCCACACACCACAGACCACTGTGACTCCGTGTCCCTGTCCCAAGGACAGGGGTGACACACTGACAGGGATGGTACCTTTTGGGAGACTGGATGCGGGACACGGCGGTCCAGGCGGAGAAGTTGGGGCTCTGGCAGAAGCTGCGCAGCTCCTCGAGGGCCCTGTGTGTCTCCACCTCGCCCTGCAGCCGATATTCCTCCTCTGTCAGCAGCCGAGGGGGGCTCGGGCCCAGCCTGGAGCTCTGCATTCTCCTGCCAGGGGGGCAGCACCACTTACTGCCCACCCCGAGGGGCTGGGACCAGCTCCCAGGGCAGGACCCCCAGAGCAGAACCCCTGGAGCAGGGCCAGCTCCTGGGGCAGGATTCTGGGACAGGACCCCTGAGGCAGGACCAGCTCCCAGGGCACGATCCCAGGACGGGACCAGCCCCTGGGGCAGCTCCCTCTGACCTCCTCTCCTCACTCCCAAGGGCCCTCTCCTGCACCAACCACAGGGAATAAAGGGCACGACCCCCCCCACGTTGTGCCCAGCCCCAAACCCCCGTGGAAACAGCCCAATTGCAGCACTCGGGCTCCATCCACTCGGGCTCCATCCACTCGGGCTCCATCCACTCGGGCTCCATCCACTCGGGCTCCATCCAGCAGCTCCTCACCGATAGGCAGCGAAGGCCCACTGCAAGGGGTAGTCCAGGTTCTTGGTGCAGACAGCGACCAGCACCAGGGCCAGGGCGATGGGGTGGATCTGGATGCCCGAGTACATCAGCAGGAGCCCCAGCAGCTGCAGGGCCCAGGACAGCAGGTTGATGCTGCGCTCGTTCTCCAGCGGGCCGTACCTGTAGCAGACGCCGAAGCTCAGGAAGCCCACGAGCAGCAGGTAACCTGTGGGGCAGCACAGGGATGGGGCAGGAGCCCGGGGCTCCTCCAGGGTGAGGGTGGACCTGGCTGGAGCCCAGCCCTCTGGAGCACCAGGACAGGGAGCCCCGGTGTCACTGGCTGGCAGTCACCATCCTGGCACTCAGCGAGGCCAGGGCTCTCACCCACCTAGCAGGTACTGCCAGTAGGACTTGCAGATCTCCCGCAGGTTCTTGAAGACCAGCTGCAGCAGGTAGAGGGAGAAGGACCAGCCTCCCACCAGCAGGAAGTACACAGGGCTTTTCTGGGAGGGGAGAGGGGCGTTGGAGGCAGGCAGGGGGACAGCCCTGGTGCCTCCCCATGGGTGCTGGGTGGGTTATGAGGCCTCCTCAGCCCCCAGCAGGTGACACCCACCTTGGGCATGACCTTGGACATCACATAGACGAGGACGAGCAGCGAGGCCAAGAGGCCAAAGCTGATCCCGGCCGAGTAGTAGAAGAGCTGACTCCTGCAGGGATCACCCAGGGGGGTTTGAGGGATGCCTGGGCGCACACACACACTCCAGGGAGGCCCTGCCCCACCTTCCCCAGCCCCCAGGGAAAGGGGGGGACTCACCTGCTCAGCATGTCCCCGCAGAAGAACAACAGCAGGCCCAGGAAGAAAACCAGGAACAGCTTAGGATCAAAGCCTGGGAAGAGGGAGAAGGCAAGTGGAGAGGAACTCTGGCACAGTGGTGCCCGTGGGGTGACAAGCCCAGGGATGGGGTAGTGCCCAAGTGAACCTCCAAGGGCCCCAATTTCCCCCCATGGACAGAGCCACCCTCCCTTTCCCTTCCCAAGGAGGGAACAGCCTTGCTGATCCTTGGCTCGTGTCCTGGCTGTCCCCTGGGGAGCTCCAGGCCCCCCTTTCCCTGCCTGAGGGGGACCTACGTCGGAAGAGGGAGACGGAGTAGGTGGTGCCGGGCTCCAGCAGCTCCACCTGGACGCAGGTTTTCTTGCTGTAGAGGTCCACGTCGATGCTGGTGTCGTTGAGCTTGCCCCGCAGGAAGGAGAACAGCACGTTCCACACGCTGAACCTCTCCAGCTCCTCCTCGCTGTCCACCTGGGTCACCCGGATCATGCGGCTGCTGATGATGCGGATCTGCCCGAGGAAAGGGGGCG